AAGGAAATTTTCAAGTTATGAAGATAGTGCATCTTGTAAAATATAATCCGGACATCTATTTTTCAAAAAATTATTATCCTTTGGGCTTTAAATTTTCTAATTTGGGGTGAAGTGCGCTTTAAATTTTCTAATTTGGGTTGAAGTTAGATTTTTAGACTATCACAATGGTTTTTTACACCAAAAATGCATCTCAAAATAATTTACTGGTTTCACCTTACCTTGTATAAACTGCGACCTATACACAATAGTTGGATATATATATATATATATATATTAGTTTTATTTTTACTTTTGTTGAGCCGAATCTAAAATATTTATAAATTTTCTCCTATAATTTTTGTCAATATGTATTTTTGCGCCAAAGATTTTGTGTCCGACCTTTTAAACAACTAATTTCATCATGATTTTTCAATAGAAAGTTTTCATATAAGTTAAACGTTAGTTGCAGATGTAAGATCCCAGTAATATGAAGTTATGCACGATGTATTTTTATTAGATGCTGTAGATTTTGCATTGTTTTAAAGAGCTTCAATTTTAACACCGACTTTAAATGTGACCAATCTTTACCATCGAACGAAAATAAAGCACCACATCATTGATTCTATAGGTAAGGTTGCCGCCTAATATAAACCACACGCTTTTCAAATCGGAAAAAGTTCATATAAATATTATTAGAGTAAGGTGCACTTCAAAAATCGTATGGAAAAAAATGTTTCGCTATTGTAAAACTTCCAATTTGATCATCTCGACCTTAAGATGTATGAAAATAAAAAAAAAAAAATTCAAATCTTAAAAATAAATTCCACAATCTTAAAAATATTACATATTGTAACAAATTATTTAGACCGTCTATGTTTAAGATTTTCATTTTTTTATAGATGTGATTGATTTTTTCTATTTTTGAAATTTTAAATTACAAAAGTATAGAATGAAACTATTTACCTTTAGTATAAAATGGTCACAATTAATCTTTACCATTGGATGTGAAATTGGGTGGTTGCATTTATTCCATTGACCAAGCTCAAACTTAAAAGAAAATTTTATTGAACTTTGTGACACATCCAAACTATCAAATTTCACATCGGATGGTTTTAAGTAATTGTGACCACCTTGTATCAAAAGTAAATAGACTCGTTATATACAGTCTTTTTTAAATTCATAACTAGGGATAAAAATATATTTTTTTAACTATAGCCCCAGTTGGAGCCTAGTTTACTTCTACTCGAAAGATTTTTTTAATATGAAAATTTGATAACCACATAAAAATCACTAGATGATTATTCTCAAAAGTCAAAATTCAAAAGGTGCGGTTTCTATAAGGTTGCAACCTTAAACAATCCAATTAAGGCGCATCTTAAAATTTTATCATAGCATGTAATTTTGTTGTAAAAAATTCTTAGCATTATCTTAAAATCTATTTTCATACCTAATTAGAAAAATTTAAAATCCAAAAATGGTTAAAATCAAGTTGATATATAAATATGTTAAAATCTTGAAAATGGACGGTCTAGAAAATGTGTTGTCAGTTGCACTATTTTTGGGACTCAAAAACCTTTTTTTTTCCATATTCTTACATCTTGATGTCGAGATGATCGATTAGAGGGTTTTTTCAACATTAAAACAATATTTCTGATAGATTTTTGCGGTGCATATGTGATTCTACATTTTAAAGTTGCAACCTTATTAAAACTTTTCCCAAATTTAAAATTTAAGTTTTTTAATAGTTAGCGCTCATCATATAAAAATTGTACAGTCTCTATTCAACTCAAGATATTTTTCTTCTTTTTTCAAATGCACAGAGGCTACAATTAAATTATTATTGTTTTTATCAAGGTTAGCCTACAGTTTGAAGAGGTTACGTCTCAAAATTTTATTTTGAGGTTCATGATCTCCATGTTAAAGATTAAATGTCCTTAAAAATTAAATATTAAAATCCACAGCAAAAATAAATTTATTAAGAGACCGACATTTCTACATGTGACAGGCTTGGGGGCATAGACACAGGCAAGAGTAAATTTGACATGTAACGGCTTGGCGGCAAAGAAACGGGTAGGAATAAATTTTGACAATGCACTCCCGCAAGGGTATAATATATTTGAAAAACATTTACATAAGGTGTCAACCTTACACTGTATGAGTAAGGTGCACCTAAAAACCCCACTGGAGAAAGTTGTTATCATAATGGAAAGCCCTCGAATCTATATCTGGACTTCAACATTCATAAATATGAAAAAAAATAAAAAAAAAAGAGATTTTTTATCTTAGAAATAGTTAATCTTCTAACATATTATATGGACCGTTTATTTTTAATATTTTTAAGTATTTATTGGCCATTTTTAAGAATTTAAATTCACAATATATTTTCATATCATCGCAAAGCTTTTTGGTACCAAAACTACATTTTCTGCATAGTTTTGAGATGTACCGTACTTGAATAGTATAAGATTGAGACCTTATACAAACCTCACCCAGTATCTTTTATTAAACGACTATCGCTTTTGCAATCGAATATATGAGTGTCCCTCTCACGGTATTTTCGCGCACAGATATTAATCCGGAAACCCTCTCAGTTAAGCAAGGCACACACTCTCTCTCTATCTCTTTCGCTTTCTCTTTCTCTGTCTAAGAACGCTCGCTTGGGATTCCTCAGAGCGATAATGGAGCGTACCTTTCCTTGGTAGAAAGGTTTAGCCGGAGAAACTACTTCAAACAAAAAAGGGTTTGGCGAGAGAGAGAGAGAGAGAAATTTGAGGAAATGGGCCTTCTTTCCAACAAAATCCAGAAGGACGACCTGAAACCAGGGGATCACATTTATTCATGGAGAAACGCCTATATTTATGCTCATCATGGTCAGTCTATAAATCATTTTGTTTTTAATTTTTTTGTGTGTAATTTACGTGAAATTTCCCCCTTTTTTGCGATAATTAATAGCGTTTAAATCACATTCTCTTAACATGAAACGTCTGAAAAGCTAGAATTTGTTTAGGATCCCTGGTTTTCTATGATGAAATTTGAATTTTCTCTGGGAAAGGAATTGGAAGCTTTGCTCGTTCAATGGCTGAATATTTTCTGACTCATGGAAGTTTATCATTTATTCCTTGAAGATGAGGAATTATTCAGAGGGCTCTGTGTGAACCCTAATTATTAAGTATGCAAAAATGCCAAATGGGGCTTGTTGCTAATTTGCTGCAATGCGTTTATTTTTATTTTTTTCTTTTTTGGTTGATAAAGCTTCAATTTTTTTCATGATCTTATATTGAATTTTTAGGTTATAAAGCATAGTTACCGGTGGGAAGGAAGAGAAGTATGTTGTCTAAATTGGCTTATAAACGCCTTACATATTCATACGAGTGCTGGAAACAATATAATAGATTTTCCTAGGAAATTAATGGGTTGTACCGGAACGCTACCAAACATTAAAAATAATGTTTCTTTTGCTGGGTTAAAATAGTAAATGATGGTGGAATTAAGAAAATGTAAAACAATAAATTGGTTAATGACTGGTGTTTTCTCAGAGAGAACTAAACTAGATCTGGCATTGCTTTTTCAAATGTGGTTTTTCAATATGTAGGATCAGATTGAGCTATGTGTTCTTCTTCTTCATGATTTGGATGGTTTGAGATTCTTTTGTTTGAGTCTAATCTGTTTCGTTGTCTTTCACAGTTTTCACGCCTAATTGGATTTGAGAATAGGACCATTATGAATTAAATAGAAGAATATTGAGAAAATTAAGTTGATTTCCTTACACCATTGTTGCCAAACTGTCAGATGGAGGGCAGCATAGCCGAACCTTACCTTCTTCAAATTGAGATCAATGTTCACCTCATCCATTGTCTTCAACATTAGACTCCAGAAACGTTAATATTCAAACCTTCAGTCCTAAAAGATCATGTTTAAGGGATTTCACATTAGGAGTTTCAAACCCACTTGCATTCCATTGTAGATATTTTCACGATTGTGATAATGATATGGCTCTTTTCAATTTTCTTCATTCTCTGTCCCACCCTACAGCTACATTGTCAATCATCATAATCTCTTGGTGATCATCATGATAAAGTTCAAGAAATACTTTTTATTGTAGAGGTCATATGTTTTATACTGGTGCCTGTTCATTGTTCACTTATCACATCCTTTGATGGAGTCTAAAGGCCTTCTCTTTGATGAATGATATAGGGATTTTATTACTGATTTAGAATTTGGTCTTACTGGTATTTTGAAAGGCAATCGGTATGGCATAACTCGTTAGACATTGTCCATGAGGTTTATTCATGTAAATATGGAAAACGTATCATTAAAAGGATGCATTTGCTAGGATTTTGATCTTGAACAACCACCGAAGAGATTCATTATTTGAGGGAGCAAGATTAGAGAAAGAAATATTTCCATTTTGAGATACCATAAACAGAAGAATGGGATACTTGTAAATACAAAAGGTACTACACAATTAAACGGAAAGAAAATAAGGTTGAAGTTTGTCAAAACTCGATATGTCTCCAATTCTAGAGATTCCATCTACATACTCTCACAAGCAAGGGTGATGGTTGTGCATGAGGCTGCACATTGTTCCAATCATTACGTTAGATAGAATATCTTTCCAAATCTATGGCCTCTATTGATTGGCTTCTATTTTTGTGAGGTTCACAAAATTTCAAACACCAAGCATAAATGAAACAGAACAATTCTCATCATGTAATTGTACAACTGAAACAAGTTTCATCAAGTGATCCAGAACATGTAAAAGTTCAAAAGATTCACAATGCTGGAAGAAGAAACTGTTCCTTTTTTATAATGATGAGGAACCGTTAGTAGTAAGTAGACAGTAGTGTACAAAGCATGGTCCCTTATAAAAAAAATGATAATATAGCAGAAGATTCAATTTTCATGGTATGATTTGAAGCACCGTATGCTATTAAAAACAATGTTCAGGTCACAGGAATCATCTACGTAAAATAAAGCTCTGGAAATAACAGTGTAGGATCCTTCCATGGATTCCATCCAATAAAGGTCCAAAGGCTCATTCATGTTACTAGAGAAATCAACACTCTCTCCTGAGATATGCTTAAAGGATTGATTGTGTGCTCTGCCTCAACTATGATGGAAATTGAAGACCTAATGGGTCTGCTATCTCCGATTAGTACCTTGTATGTTTGAGTTCAATACTTGATCTGATGGTGGTATTATCATTTCCTTGGATGGCTGAAACTTGTTTTTACCATTCATGACTCTTTACTGGGACAAGACTACGTTAGGCTTTGCAACGTGAGGGGAGTATATATAAGGGTCTATTTTTTTTTTGGGTAGATCAGTGGGGAATACAATCCCTACTCATTTTTAGAAATAATTAGCTGTTTTCGAAAGCATTAGTGGGAATGCAAACTTAGACCGGTAGCTGAGACACAAGTGGTGCTATCACCACGACTTCAACCCCATTCCCGTATATATAAGGCTCTTCTCTCAAGTGATACTATTGATTTCATGGGAAGGCAAAGAGCCTATGGAGGAAGATTGTTAAGTGGGTGTGGGAAATTTTGGGATTAAGTATGGCATTTGAGAGATTTTATGTGTTTAGAATGAGAAGTACAAACTACAAATGCTCTCGGGATGTCAAGGGTTTTTTATGGAAGACCGAGGTTGTGTAAGTTTATGAGTCTTCTGACAAATTGAGCCAGTGATTTGATTTCAGACGGTCCCACCTTTCCATATATGTCCAAACTAGAACTTAGGACTCGTATAATCCTAACCAGATACCAATTACACTAGCCTTGCCATCATTCTGTGTGTAATTTCGATGCCTGCCACCTTCTCAAAAAAAAAAAAATTTCAATGCCTGTTTCGAGTTTCTTCACTAAGACATTCCCCTAGGTGACCATTTATGGATATCAGTTTGTGGAGTGCTTTTGGCGTTTATATCTATACATATTGATCTGATCAAGGATGCACTGACCTTCTCATCACTTGCTGCATTGGTGGCTAGAAGGCTTGAGTCATAACCCTTTACTGGAGATTGAAAATACCCAAAACGTTTGCTTTCTATCCAACGAAGCTTTGTGGTGTTTAGGAGGTTTGCAACCTTGCTATTTGTATGCCATTTCATAAATTTAGTGCCCATGCTTGATTAGATTAGATCTGGTAATTGTTCTAGCTTTTCATTATGCTGAAAGGTGTTCTTATCTCATATGCCTTCAAGCAGATGCCACATTTAAGTATAGGAAGAAGGGTTCTGCAATCAAATCATACTGTTGGAATGGCATTGAGAATGTAGAGTAGTAATTGCCGCATTATATGGAAGTGCTGCATCAGGCAAAGTCTCTAGCCATTTAATTTGTTTCTTTTTGTCTCGGGCCTCATTGGAATGTAACAGGGTGTTTCACATGGTACGGATAGTTGAATGTCCTTGGGTATATTAATGTCTCAAAGTGTCAAGTAGATGGGAAAGTTTGATGAGAGTCAAAGTTTTGGAAGTGCTAGCTGCTTAATGTTGCTTGACTAATATTGAAAATAATATCCTAGTAAGGTCTGTAGTATGTTTCATATATATATTTATTTATGTTGCATATAAATTTTTATTTTCACAGTTTGTAGTGTGAAATCTCGTTTCTCTGGAACACAATCAATACGAAGTTATTTTCATCTTCCCATCTTGTGCCTTGTGATGTTTGTTTTGTAGACATATATAGATGACAACAATACTGCCTAATACTTGTTTCATGTGCACGGTTTGCATACCTATGTGAAGTTGTAAATGAATTTTGTATACTCTTTTATTCATCATGGTACATTGGTTGTATCCAGTGAATAAAAACTCTTTCTTCAAAGAAGGAAAATCTCGCTAAGTCAACTTCCTTCTCGTCCATAGCCAAATTTAAAAATGAAAAACTTGGGTTTCCCGAGTTTCTCTTTTTAAAGAAAAAATTACTAAAAAATTGTTAAAACCTTATTGTGGTTATCCAAATTGACAGTTTCACTTGATTTGGTTTTGGCAATGACTGAGTCGGTCACCAAGTTTCACTTTTTAAACATTGCTTGTCTCGACTGCCACTTTCTATATACCTTTTTTTATATTTTTAATAGATGAGAGAGAGAGAGAGAGAGGTAACTAACCGCTGTTGAATTAGGCATATACGTCAGCGAAGACAAGGTGATCCATTTCACTCGGGGAGCCGGTCAAGAGATTGGAACTGGAACCATTCTTGACCGTCTCCTTCTCAGCTCATCTCCAGTTCGCTCAGACACCCCATGCGAAAAATGCGGAGACAACACTCGTCTTGATGGGGTCATAAGCTCGTGCCTTGATTGCTTCCTCTCTGGTGGTGATCTCTACCGCTTCGAATATGGTGTCACCTCCATCTTCTTCCTTGCCAAGGCCCGAGGAGGCACGTGCACCCTTGCCTGTTCAGATCCACCTGAAAAGGTAAGTTACCTTTGTACCTAGTTTGCAATGGAGGTTAGGGATTCCATAAAGTTTATCTGAAAATCATGGAATTCTATAGTATACTACATGTAATATATTATTTGTATGCTAGACTTAGATTACATCATTCATTTTCCATGATAGACGATGGAGGTGTGAACTATTTTTCCACTTGAGGATACAAATGCCGGGAGCGGTTTGTCGCTAACATTAATCAGTGAGAATGAACAACAGAGACCACATGTAGTTTAGAACTACTATACTGCACTAATAAAATGTACTTCCCCCAAAAAACCCGCCCATTCATTTTGTTTTTTGTACTCTTTTTCCTGTATTAGTCTACACTTTGTGAAAAACTAGATGCATATCTTTTTTGTATGAACCTTAAAAGAGCAATTGTAACCTGCCCTCTATTTTTCTCAATTTAAGGTCCTCCATCGGGCTACTCACCTCCTTCAAAATGGGTTTGGATTTTACCACGCCTTCAGGAATAATTGTGAGGACTTTGCAATATATTGCAAGACCGGGTTGCTAGTGGTTACGAGCCTGAGTGTGGGAAGGAGTGGGCAGGCAGCCTCGCTCTTGGCAGCAGCTTCAGCTATTGTGTCATCACCTTTGCGTTTTATGACCACCAGTTTTAGTGGCCTGGCGGTGGTGGCTGCAGGCATGTATTGCATTGGCAGGTATGTGGTTGATATGGGGGTGAGAAGGGATGTGATTGAGATCGCTGTCGAGGACCTGGTGGCTAGGTCCGAAGTGATCAGGCCCGAGGTTGTGGGGGTTGTGCCTGATGAAGTGCTTGGCAGACTTCATGGTAGCACGCAGCAGCTTGTGGCCAACTGAGTTATGAGTTGGGTTGGGCCAATATTAAAGGTATTGGGAGGTGGAGTAAAGGAAAGGGCCTAGTAGAATGTGTTTTTTTTGTGGACCTGGATGTATTTGTGTGTATGAGAGGCCCGCATGAAGATGAAATGCGGGTGTTGGTCTCCCATGTTGTGATTCAATGGCTTGTATTAGGAAGGCCATCTGGATCATCCAGTCAAATGAGTACTTTTACTTGGTAACATGCGCTTTCTTCGTCTTATCAGGAAGTGCATATTAATGGTTGACGCCTCGCAGGAAGAAGAGGCTTGTGAAGAGAAACACCGGAGAAGAAAAGAAATTTCTTTCAAAATTGGATAGTTTCTATTCAATCTTGAAGTGTTAGGTTTTTCTAATATACAGAAGATACTTGGAAAATTTCTTTTGCTAAAATTATTGTAGTAAAGATTCCTAAAAATTTGAGATTTAAACAATACTGCTAGCATGGATTTTTGTCGAGGGAGTAAATAAATATTAGACTCCCAAGAGAGTAGAAAATTTAAAATGAAAATAAGATGAGAAAAGATAAAGATTTGAATACCCTCGGACATGATTTGAATAAAACTCCACAAAAGGGAAATTCTTTGATGTGCTTGGTGTAGATTAAATCTGGGATCGATTCAATGATAATGATTGTATTTCGTATTTTAATTTTAATTTTTTATATATATAAATTCAAATCATTTGAAATTTTGTGTGTATGTTTTTTTTAAATATTAGAATTCAATACAAATATCAAAAAAATATTTCGTGAAAATAAATTGATTAAAATACCTTTAAAACATTTCAGGTGTATTTTGATCAATTTATATTTTGTGAATTATTTTTTTAATATTTTTATTAGGTACATGTTGATAAAAAGAAAAGACTTTTAAAACTCACATGATTTGGATTAGTAAAAAAAAAATTAAAATTAAAATATAAAATGAAGTCGTGGCGGTCAGATGGGTCTAGATGTTGGGTTTATATGCAGCTGTAGGCTAGTGAGCACATCGCAACATTTCCTATATATGTATGGGATTGTGACCATTTATCTTTTGTATATAGAGCTTATGATTATTTTTGTTTATTCAATTTTAAAATAGGTGGTTGTAAGAGTGTCATTGAACAAACAAAGTTCTAAATTTGTTTTTTTTTAGGACTTCGTGATTCATTTCAAGCCATCTAATTTGATATCTAATGAGTGTGAATGATTGAGACTTGTAGTTTGAATAGAGCTTAGGCTCTAAACAATCAAATCAGAGTCTACTTTCAAATAGTATTGAGAAATGTGGTTTTACTATTGAAAATCTTTGTGATAGCTTTAAAATATATTTTTCATATTTGTTTATAAAGTTTAAAGCTTCAAAAATAATGTAGATCGACATATCTATGAAAACTTGAAAATCTTGAAATTGTCAATATAAAAATGCATTACAAAATACACTATTTTCAAAATTTGAAATCTATTTTTTTTTCTTGTCTATGCATGTTGATGTCGAGATGATCAATTTGAAGATATTTGAGCATCAAAACAACATCTTCTAATTAACTTTTTGAGGTAGGCTCAAATTTGATTGTTTAGAGCTTCGGTTCTATATAAACTTTATCCAAACATAAATGGTCTCTTGTAGATAATCTCTCTCTCTCTCTCTCTCTCTATATATATATATATATATATATATATAAGGAAAGTCTTCCTAATGTCTATAGACGAAAATAAATAGTGATTTTGCCTACTCTCATCACTGTTCAAGTTTTATTGTTCGATCACGATTGTTTGATAGTGTTTTATTTTTCATTTTTTTTTATAAATCGGAATGACAACGAAATTTGGTGGGTATATACATCTTATTGAGGCACATCTAATAAAAATATAAAAAAAATTATCTGTGAAAAAATCATGTAAAATATATTTTTTATATTTTTTGAAGATTCCCTTATTTTTTATGAATACACGCTTCAAATTTCAGGTCATTCTGATTTGTAGAAAAAAAAATAAAATATGAAAAACTATTAGACAATCGTGACCGTGCGATGAACTTTAGATGGTGATGGGGGTAGACAAAATCATTGTTCATTTTTCGTCTATAGGCGTCGCGTAGTATTTTCCATATATATATATGGAAAACATTTATATAAGGATGCTACCTTATAATGTAGAACTACAGATGCCCCTCAAAAATCTATCGCAAAAGGTAGTTTTAATGTTGAAAAACCCTTTGATTGATCATCTCAACATCGAGACGTATGACTATGAAAAATAAAAATATTTTAAGTATCAGAAATAGTGCATTTTACGACATATTATCTACACCGTCCACTTTCAAGATTTTCTTATGTTTATATATCTACTTGATTTTAACCATTTTTAAAATTTAAAATTTTATAATTAGATATAAAAATAGATTTTGAGATAATCCTAAGAGCATTTTACATCAAAATTATATACCTTGATAAAATTTGAAGGTGCACCTTACCTCTACACCTACGGATGCATCCGTATGCGAACTGCACAATATATATACGGCAATGATCTAATGCAACGGTTGCATTATAGTATAATGCAACCAAATTCCTAGAAAAACATATTTGTGTTATTTGTATAACCCAAAATTTTGCACACACTCTCTCCATCTCAATAATTGATCCCTCCCCCCCCAATTTGACCCTAAAAATGGTCAAAATGAGTCCCCCCCGCCGCCCCCCCAACCAACAGCGAATCTACAACTATTCATTTGGTGAAAATCAAGATCTTAACCTTTACAAACTCAAAACCATATTTTATTTTTTAACATTGTTTATTTAATGGTAATAAAACCATCTAAAAAATTGAAAAAAAAAAAATCCTTTTAAGGCTTAGATTTAAGCATCTTATCAAAATAGACAGCTTATATTAATTGGGTTAAAAAATATTTTTTAAGTTGTATTTTCAATTTTTTATTTTTTATTTTTTTTTGTGATTGTAGAATGAAAATAGTGTATATTTTAAAATTTGGATCAAACAAATGGCTTTAAATTGGTTTTTAAAGATTGTTGCATTATATTATTATACAATTATTGCATGAAATCACTGCCCATTTATATATATATATAAAAGAAGATACTACAAAATGCCTATAGGTGAATATGAACAGTAATTTCACCTACCCTCATCACCATCCAAACTTCATCGTATGGTCACTGTTGTCCAGTAGTGTTTCAATTTTCATTTTTGTTTTACTAATTGAAATGATTTGAAATTTGGAGCGTGTGTACATCTTAGCGAAACGTATTTAATAAAAATAAGGAAAACATAATTCGCTAAATATAAATTCACAAAATACCCTCATAAATTTTTGGGAATATTTTGATCCATCTATATTTTTGTGAATCATTTTTTTCATATTTTATTAAGTGCGCATCACTAAGATGTACATACGTTCAAAATTTCAAGTAATTTGGATTCGTAGAAAAAAAGTGAAAAAGTGAAAAATGAAAACTATCGGACAACTGTGACCGTACGATGAAGTTTGGATGGTGATTATGATAGGCGAAATCATTTTTCATTTTTACCTATAG